CAATCCCCCGGGGGGGGGGCCTAACCCAGCCGGTGGTCATCCCCTGAAGGGTCCCAGACTGAGAGAGGGCACAGGCAGCGCCGAGGGACACCCCCCCCCCACACACACACACCCAAGTGCACAAATTTTTGTGCACTGGGCCTCTAGTAGATATTATAAAAAGGACCCATCAGAAATTAATAATACAATATCTGAAATGAAGAATACACTGGAAGGAATAAACAGTAGGTTGGATGAAGCAGAAGATCAAATTGGCAATTTGAAAGACAAAGTAGGGGGAAAACCCCTAATGAGAGCAGCAAAGAGAAAAAAGATATATATGAATATTTTAAGGGACATTTGGGACAACATGAAGCATAACAATATCCACATCATAGGGGTACTAGAAAGGGAAAAGAGAGAACAAGAAATTAAGAACCTATTTGAAGAAATGACTGAAAACTTTCCTAACTTGGTGAAGAAAAAAACACACAAGTCTAGGAAGTGTGGAGAGTCCCAAACAAGATCAACCCAAAGAAGCCCACACCAAGACATATCATAATGAAAATGACAAAGATTAAAGACTAAGAGAGCATCTTAAAAGCTGCAAGAGAAAGGCAGTTAGTTACCTACAAGGGAGCGCCCACAAGACTGTCAGCTGATTTTTCCATGGAAACATTTCATGCCAGAAGGGATTGGCATGAAAAATTCAAAGTGATAAAAAGCAAGGACCTACAACCAAGACTAGTTTACCCAGTAAGGCCATCATTTTATTTTATTTTATTTTTTAAATATATTTTATTGATTTTTTACAGAGAGGAAGGGAGAGAGATAGAGAGTTAGAAACATCGATGAGAGAGAAACATCGATCCGCTGCCTCCTGCACATCTCCTACTGGGGATGTGCCCGCAACCCAGGTACATGCCCTTGACCGGAATCGAACCTGGGACCTTTCAGTCCCTAGGCTGACGCTCTATCCACTGAGCCAAACCGGTTTCAGCAAGGCCATCATTTTAAAAAGAAGGAAAAATAAAGAGCTTCCCAGACAAAAAAAAAATTAAAGGAGTTTGTTACCACCAAACCAGTATTCTAAGAAATGTTAAAGAGCCTTCTAGAAGAAGATGAATAAATGGCAATAAATATGTTCCTATCATTAATCACTTTAAATGTACATGGCTTAAATGTTCCAATAAAAAAAAATCATATGGTAGCTGAATGGTTAAGAAAACAAGACCCTTGCCCTAACCGGTTTGGCTCAGTAGATAGAGAGTCGGCCTGCAGACTGAAGGGTCCCAGGTTCGATTCTGATCAAGGGCATGTACCTTGGTTGCGGGCACATCCCCAATAGGGGGTGTGCAGGAAGCAGCTGATCCATGTTTCTCTCTCATCGATGTTTCTAACTCTCTATCCCTCTCCCTTCCTCTCTGTAAAAAAAAAAAAATCAATAAAATACTTTAAAAAAAAGAAAACAAGACCCATATATATGCTGTCTATAAGAGACCCACTTCAGAACTAAAGATACACAGACTAAAAGTAAAGAGATGGAAAAAGACATTCCATGCAAATGGAAAAGGAAAAAAACCCAGGGTAGTAATACTTATATCTGACAAAACATACTTTAAATCAAAGGCTATAGTGAAAGACAAAGAAGGATACA